CCCTAACCCTAACCCTAACCCTAACCCTAACCCTAAACCTAAACCTAACCCTAAACTTTACCTTAACTTAAATCGCGCTGTTGTCGGCGCGCTGTTGTCGGCGCGCTTTTGACATTGCGGTTTTAGCGCCGCGGTTTTGTCGGTGCGCTTTTGACATTCGCGTTTTTGTCGGGTCACATCAGTCTTCACATATCACCGTTGCAAGGAATCCCTGTCTTATTTGTGCAAAGCAACAGGCAAGAGCTTCAGCTCAACCTGAACCAAGGTCGAAGCCTCGTAGGTCAGTGATTCTCAAACCTTTCTTCACCATGGACTCCCTTAAAATGCCTTTTGTGGGCATGGATCATGGCCACAGACCCCCATGTCTTAACTCAATATTTAATTCATAACCTTTCTTCAAGCCTTTGCAGACCCCCTGTGATAGCATCACTTAAATATGAGCCAGCAGTGGGCTGCAGCTGCCAAAAAAGCCAACACAGTTCTAGGCTGTATTAACACAGGGATAGAATCAAGATCACATGAAGTGTTGATACCACTTTATAATGCCTTGGTAAGGCCACACTTGGAATACTTTGGCCCCCTTTGGTTACCATCATGTAAAAAAAAATTGCTGAGACTCTAGAAAGAGTGCAATAAAAGTGCAGATGATTAGGGGACTCGAGGCTAAAATATATAAAGTTACTGGAATTGGTTAGGTCTAGTTTAATGAAAAGAAGGACTAAAATTAATTAGAGGTAAATTAAAGTTTTTGCACTCTGCAGACCTCCCAAACCATCTGCACACCTCATTTTTTTGCCAAAAAAGTGGGGGCATGCAGAGTTTTGGGAGGTTTGCAGAGTGCTCCTGGGGGCTGGGGCAAAAACGAGAAAAAACGCCCCATTTTTTGCTCGTCTTTGCCCTCCCCAGCCCCCCAGGAGCACTTTGCAAGCCTCCCAAACCCTCTGCACGCCCCTTTTTGCAAAGGGTGCAGGGTTTCAGTAGGCCAAAAAATGCTGTATTCAATGTATAAGATGCACCCAGATTTTCACCCTCTTTTTGGGGGGAAATTTTCATTAGTTTAGCTTCTCTGTATCTAGACTGATCACCTGCAATACAATTAAGAAACTCAAAAGATTTGCAGAATAAAGACCACAAAGATTAGATATGGTTTCTTCCTTGTTAATGTTAATAATAAATCTTATCATTTCTTGTAGATCTGTATGAATTTTTGGAACTTTTGCCTTTGTCAGTCATTGGGTATGATTAATCATCCTACCACTTTTTAATTAGGAATTAAAATTTAAATAATTCAGGAATGGGTAGCCACCTTAAAGGAATGAATGCTGGATTTTCTGGGTTAATTTAGATGGAAGTTTGGCGGGATCATTTTTTAAAAAGTTGTACATCTGTGTTAGGGTATCTTTACAATTCAAATGTTAACTAACTGGCTTTGTCTCTTCATAGACTCACAATTGTACAAAAATACATTATCTACTGGGTAAAAATCCCTGGTCCTAAGATTTCTCAAGCAGGTATACTTCCTTTCACAACAATAATGTTTACTAATTGGACCATTCCAGCATCCTTGCCTGTCTCTTCCCTAAGTCAACCAGTAAGTAGTAATGAGTTAATGGATTATTGTTATTGTTTATTGCTGCATTTTCTTACACATAGCAGAAAAACCTAAGGTATTGCTAATGTATGGAGGCAGTCTATACATTTCATGAATAAATATTTCTGCAAAAACGTATTTGAATTATCATATGCATTATCTAGTTCAGTGTTTCTTAAACTGCTTTTCTTGGGACCACTTCTGAGTTTTAAAAATTTTGGAGCATTCCCAAAAGAGCTTTTGTTTGGGTTGTATTTATCTTTTCTTAATAAATATTTTCTATTAAAGTAAGTTTTAGAAAAAAGTTTAAAAGCTACTGAAACATAGAAGAAGAAACAGGAAAAGGTGATAAAAGATTTGTTTGTAAAAAATAAAAACGAGTAACAAAAAAAAGCATGAAAGAAAAATATCTTTAAAAATGACTTCCAAACTTCTCTGTATATAGCAATTACTGATTGGAAGGTATATATGCTTTATCTTGGCTCCAAATTATTTGAAATGGAGAGAATTTCTTAAAACCCTTTTGAGTCAAGATTCAGACTGGTTAGGAGGCATACAATATTTAAGGCATCTTGGTAAATTATATGCAGTTCCTAGAAGAATGGCTTTAAGGGGTGATGTTTGGGGATCCTATCTCAGTATTTTAATTATGATTTTTATTGCCTATTTAATGATGATTTTGAAATGCAGCATACAACTTTTAAATATAAGTAAATGAATAAAATAGGGAGAGGCTGTCTAGAGTTTTGACATGTTTAGATGTTTTTATTATGATGATTTTACTTTTTTATTAGATACTGCAATTTTTATGTTTAACTTGATTTACAAATATTGGGTACTGTTATCTACACTCATTCATCTGTAGTGGAGAAGCACATAAGCCCAATAAATAAGTTGTCATTCCTTTAAGAATCTTTGGCCTGCCACACTCTCATTAAAGGGGGGAGGGATAGCAAGGGGTAGAATGTGTTGTTTTCAGAATAAAAAAAATCCTTTCTAGAAGCTCAAAGTCATCTTTTGTCTCCGCACCTTTGCACCTGACCGGAAGCAGCTGGG